AGTTTGGTACATTGATGAGTGCCCCAAACAAGGAAGATGTTGTGGTTTCCAGAAGGGTAAATTACTTCTGTGTAGCGATGCATTTTTCCTTTTGTTGTGGTTTGTCTTTCAGGACTGGTCCAGCAGCTGTATTAGAAGACATGTGGTGTGTATGAAGTTTGTGATAGTCGGGGGAAATTTTGGTAAGTGTTGCTGCATTTACTTCTAATATCTTTTGTTGTAAAATGGTGCCCCAAAGGGAAGCCAATGCCTTGTTTTGTGCATCTTTTACATCTACACTAAATTTAGACAAAATGGGATTTTATCATTAGATGTAACATTCAGTTGGTACTTTCTAACAGTATGACTTTTTTCTTGTTGTTACTGATATGTTATTAAGTAATATTAGAAATATGGAGTTTTCTAAGATTTAATAAGAAATCTAGATTTAGGAAAGTTTCTGAATACAGGATAAAGAATACCCTTGACAGTTGAGCTTGTAGTCTAGGTAACCTAGACTATATGAGTATAGTCTAACATGGACTATAAGAGTAATAAACTGCAGACCAATAGAATAACAACAGCAACAAAGATTCTCCGCTGCAGAGAGATCCTTATGGCCTATCTGTTGAAACAAGAAATAGTCAGTTAGCTGCTTGGGAAATGGAAAGTTGAAGGGAAGCAAGAACTCAGCACGTCTGGGAGCCAGTCCCAGCATGACAGTGGCCGGAGAGGCCAAGAACATTAAATTCAGCAACCACCCAGAAGACCTTGCTAGCAGTAGTAAAAAGAACAGTCTTCGAGATCAGGAGACCCGGGTTGAAGTTTAAGTTCTACACTAACTGGTTGTTACATACCCTCCCTGAGCCTCAGTTTCCTCATCTGTAAAATGAGGCTTGTAATGTTACCTCCGTCATAAGGTTGTCATGAGAATAAAATGAGCTAGGTAGTGCTGGGGCATAGTAGGTGTTCAATAAAGCAGTTATTCTTGATAACAGCTCTTGATAACAGCCTCGTTTGGAAACTAGACATTTGCCACTGAACTCAGACCACCAAAAGGTGTACATATCTCCCAGCAAGAGGGCCACTGGGGATGGGTTGGTCACACCACATTTGCTGTCACAAGAGATGTCACGGCTGGTCACCACAGTCCGTCCTCCAGAGTCTACTCTGTAACACCTTGTGGGAACCCCAGGACATTTGCTGTCTTCTCCACCTCTGCCTACCCATTCTTAGATGTGCTTGACTAATTTAACTTACCTTCCTGTTACCTTTGCAGCCAAGTGCAGTTAGAGTTTGGAGTTCGTTTGAGTTCCATTCAGTTTTGGAGTTAACGTTACTATGAACCAAAATAATGAGAAGGAAAAGAAGGGTCGGGAGTAGATGGTCCTCGTGGTTTGGGTCTTGGGTACCATATTTAGGCATTCATTTCCAAAGTTTTATTTTTATTTATTTATTTACTTTTTTGTCTGTGCTTATTATGTACTCCTCCCGGAGATCCAGTTATCAGACTAAATTTTTGAGCTTTAACTACAAGAATTTGGCATTGGAATGGGACTTTTCCTGTGGTTGGAGGGAATCAACTGTGTCACTGCAGATGGGCTGGTGTTTAAGATTAGGTGTCCCTAAGTGGACCCCTTTGTTTCATAGAATTGGAGAGATGGACACAGCTTCAGGGGTCGTCCAGCCCATTCTCCCTCGAGCCAAAATCAAATCTCTTCTACAGAACCCGTGACAAAGGGCAGTCCAAATTCTCTCAGGGGTAGGGAGCTTGCTACGTGAAGAGTAGCTTGCGCCAATTAAAAAAAAATGTTAAGGGAAACAGGAAAATTTTAGAGGGTAATGAAATTGTTCTGGATCTTGATCTGTGGCAATATTTTTTGTTTGTTTGTTTAATTTTTTGAGAGAGAGGGCAAGCAGGGGAGGGGCAGAGAGAGAAGGACAGAGGATCTGAAGCAGGCTCTGTGCTGACAGCAGCGATCCCAATATGGCGCTTAAACTCACAAACCGCGAGATCATGACCTGAGCGGACATCAGATGCTCAGCCAACTGAACCACCCAGGTGCCCCCATCTGTGGTGATATTGATACAACTGTATATTTCCTGCAAATTCATAGAACTCTACAATAAAAGGGTGACTTTTGCTCTATGTTAATTAAACCGTAGTTTTACAATGGGAAAAAAAATGAGCAAATACCTGGGTGTTTAGCTCAAATGGTTAAAAAGAAAGAAGGGAAGCAGGGAGGGAAGGAAAGCATTCTAGTCTTTACAGTGAATTATGACATATGCTCCATGAAGCAGGACCTTGGTCTTTTTCCTTCCTCTGGTCTCAGTGCCCAGACAGTGCCTGGCACAATGGAAGGCCTGTGATAAATATTATTGAGCCGCCTATGCTCTTAGTCACTTTCTAAGTAGAGACCTGTCTTTCCACTCTGTCACACACCAGCCCTTCCGGTATTTGGAGACACTCTCCATCATTCATCTTCCCCTCTCTGGGCTGAACTTACCATGTTCCATTCTTGTACTGTTTGTCTCCTGATATTATTTCCCTCTCCCTCCCACCCTGCCTCTCCTTGAGGAAGCATCTGCTTTACCACACCCCTCCTGGATACGTGGCCCAGCGCTGGGAACCCTGCCCCTGAGGTGGTTGGTCCACCAGCGGTACCGTAGGCCATTGGTACCATGGGCCATTGCATCTATAGACGATGTGAGGAGACACCAACCCCAGTGTTCTTTTGCAGTCAGTACTGAGTGCCTGGTAATGGAACATGAAGGATTTGTTAACAGTCGTCTTCGAAGAATGGAACTGTTAAAAGTAGGGAGAAGAGCCATCCAAGAGATAGGGTGACGGCAAATCCGTCTTCTTACGCGTCTTGACTGAAATGAGGGCAAGCCTCACCACCCTTTGTTTAAGACAGCAGTAGTGTTCTTTATAAATCTTTCAAGGTAGCACTGTATCACATGTCCTGACTCTTCATTATGAGTCATAGGAAGTTTGAAATTCTTAAAATTAAAACTTGTGAGTGCCTTGAAAAATCTAGACTCCCACCACCCTCCCCCCACCCACCCAGCCATACCTGGGGGAGATATGTAAATATATAAACAGAGAGCAGTGGTTCTCAACCCAGATTAATTTTGTTCTCCCAAAGGACACTAGTCAATGTCTGAAGACATTTTTGGTTGTCACAGCAGGGGGTGGGGAGTTGTGTGCTATGGGCATCGCGTGGGTGGAGGCCATGGATTCTGCTCACTACTAACTATCCTGTAGTGCACAGGACAGCAATCCCCTCATGCAGAATGATCGGGCCCAAGGTGTCAAAACTGCTGAGACTGAGAAACCTGATATAGAAGGAATTTTTAAAATTTAATACCCGAAGTACTTATTATTTTGAAGGTATAAAATCTTTAATATTTTGGCATTTAGTTAGAGGTCAATATAGAACCAGAAAACGTAGAGAGGTTTGGTCAGAGAATCATAGGGCTGAAAGGTCTCATAAGAGACTCTGTCTTACATTGCCCCTGACTCCAAGCAAGACGTGACTTCAGCAAGACAGATGGGCATCTGAAGGCTTATACTGATGACTGTAAACTGAAAATGAGACTCACACAACATGATCCTCACACTCACACAAAAGAGGTTGTCTCATATTTTAATTTCAGCCCCAGCTTCTTCACAAGTGCCTGTCTCTAGATAGCCTTTGAGATGTAATGGTATTTCAATCTGGGCTAGTCCTTCCTTTTAAATCAAGGGCAGCGATTCTGGTGTGATGAAAATGTGCTTAGGGAGGAGAGAGATCTCATTACAGATGATTGAGATTGGGTATTTTGGTACACAGTGCTGTTTATTTGCATCAATTTCCTAGTGACACCACAGTCTGGTTTAAGTGTAAGTTATTGAGAGCTTTTGTAGCCCAAGATGGCTACACTTGCTAAAGCAGGGAGATTAAAGCAACGTATGTCAAGTTGTGATATAGGACGATCCACTTGAAAAGACTTTAATTATAGGGCTTATTTTGGGAGGGTAACTGTGCTTTTTGTGAGGTATATTTTGGGATCTACTAACCCAGCTTCAAGGCTAGTAATATCTTCCCAGAAAGGGTGTGGCTTGTGCTGGTGGACATAAATATTTTCTCACCAAAACCTTCAGTATAATATTCTTTCGACTTTACAACTCTGCATTTTTCCTTTTCTGATAATCTTTCCCTTTGCAAAAAATGCATTCTGGAACGTTGGAGAAGACAAGGGTAAAAGATCTCATTTCAGATGGCCAAGCCCAGAGATTTTGCATTTTCATCAGTCTGCTGTTTTTTAAGATGAATAGAATTTGGAGGAATGTACCAAAGCTGAATAGTAAGCAGTGTCAGGTGAGACTAAAACCATGTCAGTGCTAAATATTTTAATGTAAGAAACTATGGAAAAGCCACACATGTATAGCTTCTTATTTGCCAACACTGCCTCTCCAACCCCCGGGTAATTTTTGGAGGCCACTTCAGTGCCCTTTACCACAGCTAATGAGCTGGAGTCGGTACCCACTTACACTTTGCTCTTCAAGACTTGTGCCTTGGGGCACCTGGGTGGCTCAGTCAGTTGAGCGCCCGACTCTTGATTTGGGCTTAAGTCAGGATCCCAGGGCCACCCCATGTCAGGCTCTGTACTGACCATGGAGCTTGCTTGAGTTCTCTCTCTTTCTCCCTCTGCCCCTCTCCCCCACTCTTCTCTCACTCTCTCTCTTTCTAAAAAAAAACAAAAAGTATATTAAAAAAAAGGACTTGTGCCTTTTCCCAACTCTGCCTTTGGTGACCTCCTTCACTTCCCCATTAATACCTGAGGCCTTTGGCCTTCCTTAAAGGAAGGGTCGGAACTTTCTGCCCAGTGTTTCGTAGTCCTCATTTGAAAGTGAATGATAAAGGAGAGATTAGATCAACAAAATAAAATCAGCTTTTCCTTTACACAATGTGTATGGTAGGTGGATGGGGAGGAGGAACAGAGGTAGAGGAAGAACAGTTTTTTAACCCCCCCAAAATAACCACATCTGAGGGCAGAGAAGCACTTTTACCTAAATTCTAAGTCATGAGGGCAATAAAATGAGAGCCAGAATGCTCCATGGGGGAGAGTTGAAGGCAAAGCCTCCTAACTGTAGAAATCTCCAGAGAGGTGTCCCTGTTTTCCCAGAGGCAGTCTGTGGCCTGCATCTGAATCACCC